AGCACAGCACAGCACAGGCATGCATATTACAGAGACTAGAGACTACATCGAAAGAGGGAGATAGACTTCTCTTTTTAGTGAAAGCGACGTTCCTCAGAAACCCAGTCAAAGGAGCACTGCAGATCTCACAGTATGGTGCAAGCTCGTTAAGGCCAGGGAAATCAAATTATTGCACTTTTTTACATCATACACATATTAAAAAATTCTTAATTATTCAATGTATTTTGTGAAACTTCTACAAAATTTATCTAATCATGAAAAATATTTATCAATAAGTTATTTAAAGATTATATTATTAGTATCTTTTTATTTTTAAGATTATAGATAGAAAGAGGCAAGGACGGATCTATGGGACGGCAAACGTGAGTTAGCTCCTACTTTCCATGAAATTACTTTTAAGAAAAAAGAATATATATGACTATAATATACTAAAAAAAATTTATATAATCACATATATCCTATAATAAAATAATAACTGTTATTAAAAATTATTTTTATCTACACTATAAATATAATATATATTATTTTATAATAAAAAGTGGAAATATATTATATGTTAAATTTTATTAAATATTAATATTAAAATTATCGTAATATATGTCAAATAAATTTATATTTACATATTTTTTATTTATATTGACAATTTTTTATGTATATATCATATTTTTTATAATATTAATTTAATCAAAGTTTAAATGTTGTACATTATTAATAAATATTATAATGTTAACATTTACTTGTTTTTTGATAAAATAGTCTATGTACGACAATATTTTTTTTTTGCATTCAATCAATTAAAGTTTATCTAATATATTAAATTCATGATTTAAATATATTTTTAATTTTTTTAAATAAATAAATTTTGATTTTGATCTATATAAAAATATATTTATTTTTTTTCTCTCTATAATTTGGAATTACTATTTTTAAATGTGTTTATCAAAAAGTAAAGAGACCATTTTTTAAGTGGCACCTATAACTGTTTGTGCTATCATATTAACATATAATATCTCTAAAAATAAGTTGTGGATCATTAAAATAAATAGGTTAAAACCCTATTTTGGTCTCTTATAATTTTTTTTTGTTTCAATTTAGTCTTTCATTAATTTTTTGTCTCACCATCAGCAACATGAGGCTGAGGATGTGGACGGTGGAGCTTAGGCTTCTATGTGGGATTTTGCCCTGATAGGACATGTGACATCGGGACATAGATAGAATTAGAATATGGTGTTGTTTATGTTTTATTAAAGTATATATTTT